CATGAACATGAGTGTTTCACTTCTAAATCTTCCCTCGCCTAACAAAATATGATCATCCTGCAAACGACTGAAACCTGCTGGGTTACGATGCTACCAAAACCCAAGTGTTTGAGCAACACAGCCCAAGATGAAGCCCTAACAAAATGGGAAGGTGTGACCAGAATGCAATACGGATCCATTTCCCAACTCTCTCAGTGGTACTGGTCAGCCCAACGTGTAGCTATGGCTGCAGTGCTGTCCCAGAGACACCTATGAAACTGTAGCATGTGTTGGACAGGTAGGTGCAGATGCAGCTGTATGGTTGCTCCCTTCTCATTATGGGAATGCCTGTTCCCTGCCAGACAGCGCTAAAGTGGTAAATCTCCGTGCCAAATTACAATGCTGTCATACATGGGAATGGGCCCCTCTGAGCTTCTCTTTGGAGTGACGAATGTACAGCAAGAGCAAAATAATCCGATGCTCACAGGCAGAACTCATTTAGCTGAAAGAGACTTAACACTAATTGGGAACCAAATGCAAAAACAAAGGCTGGCATGATGGAGTGAGGAGAGCGGATAAACTACAAACTATGTCTCTACGGGACCTTAAAACTAAAGGTTGAAGCTGCAGAGAAAGATACATTTCCCCCCCACACAATCTTTTCTTTGTTCTCTGTTTGCATCTCAAATCTGTAATCCTGCAGGTCAGGGACCATCTATATGCAGTGTAAACTGCTCAGCACCGCGGTGCTCCCATCCCTTTGAAAGGCCTTCAGGCACGTAAAGCCTTCCAAAATCTTACCACTCTGCTGCTGATAAGCCCCTTTGAAACATGCTGGGCTGGGGTCCTGGAAAAAGGATTGCTCACAGTCTAGTTGCACAGTCACTGGAAGAGCAGGGAAAGGTTTCCTAATGGCCTGTCTCTACTATAAGGAAACGTCTATTGAAAATGCAATACACTTGCAGGGACCTCTGTCCCTAACTCACAAGTTATAAATTCTTTAGATGGAGACTGTTATTATCTATGTATTTGTACAGCATTCAGATCAGTGGACATCTGTGTGGCCCCAGAATAATAATGATGATTATCTCCACGCTGTGTGCTTGCTCTGAAGGACGGTAGTGGCACAGGCCCTTGGTAAGGAGTCTGAAATGGTTTTCTTGACAGATGCTGCAGTTGTGAGAAGCAGTGAAATAATTCAATTGAGAAGCTGCTCTGCCAGCTGATAATGAAGCCAGCCAAGCAGCTGGCAGCAACCTGATCTGTGGACACCCCGAAGCTGAGGAACACCATAGTGGGATGTAGCAGTGTGATCCCACATCCCCCCTAGGCTGATTTTCTGGGAGAACAGGCCAATATCCATGTTTCTGCAGATGAAAACTTCTTTTCAATGTGAGAATGTTTTTAAGGCTGGAAGAGTGAGAAAAACAATTCCCTAGAGTTAGTTCCAACCCATTTAAAATCCCTGCGCTATGATCAACTTTGAAAAATGTTCCAATTTACCATGTGTGAATCTGTATGCTGGGCAAACGCCTCTGAACAGAAGAGTTAAATCGTGAGCACTAGATGAGTGGGAACATAAGCCTTGTTACCCAGACTAATAAATAATAAATCATGAGGAAAAACTGCTTTACTCTGAGGGTGACAGAGCACTGGAACAGGCTGCTCAGGGAGGTTGTGGAGTCTCCTTCTCTGGAGATATTCAAAACCCGCCTGGATGCAGTCCTGTGTGATCTGCTCTAGGTGAACCTGGTTTAGCAGAAGGGTTGGACTAGGTGATCTCCAGAGGTCCCTTCCAACTCCTACCATTCTGTGATTCATGGCACTCTCCACAACTGATGTTTAATTGATCAGTGTTTGGGAAGTGCACTGGAAAATTAAAGTGCTATAGCAACGCCAAGTATTATTATTAACGATAATATACGGGACAGTTTTTTTTCTCGTCTGCAATATTTTTTCTCAGCATAAGTAGGTACAAACCTGTGGGGAATGCCCTTCTGCAAACAGAAGGCAAGTGGCTGCCAGCCCAAGGTGACCGTATGGTTTTGTAAGCAGAAGTAGAAAATATCTTTCCCACATACATGCCTGCACACAAATACACTGTAGCCCACACCTCAGAGACACAATCTCCCTAACTTCCTGCAAGCTTTGTGCTGCTCTGCTTCATATAAACTGGTAAGAGTTGAGTAGAGAAGGATCAGCTATATCCCAGATCCATAGCAGCAGCTCGCATAGGAGGATACAGATGGCCAAAAAGCATGTTTTTGGTTAGCATGAAATGCTACTACTTCAAAAACTGGGACTGAAACCAAACTTAAAAAACCCCAACAAACTCAAAGTAAAAAGAAATACCATGACCCAGACCCTGCTGATTAGCACAGTGGTTAGCTTCACATCCAAGAACAGCAGGGAGATGCAAACCCTGCCATTTCAGTGAGCAGCGGCACTGGGCTCCCATGGAGCCACAGTCACTGCCAGCCTCTAAGATCTAGGTCAGTGGCAGGGACCTTGGCAGCTCTGAGAGCTCTAGTGCCAGTCTGGGACTCTCAAGCTTTCTCTGCATCCTTATTCCTATATATTCTGCCCAGCAGCTCCATTCCAAGTCACAGATCCAAGAGGCAGGTAGCCCAAGGATCAAGTACCTGGATCCCCTGGAGTCTGCTCCACAGCCAGAGACCTTGGAAATGTAAAGTTCTTGGCTTTGCAGAGATGTGCTGTAATCCCGTAAATCCAGGCCAGAAATTGAAGATGCTTGCCTTGGATTTAATTTAAGATCGCTTTTTGAATTTTAAATTAGCATTTGGGACTCACCAAGCTCTGTTTAACTGAAAAACTTCCAGCTAGGTCTATAGATCCCCTAGTAGGTGACGAGATTGGCACTGCTGTGATGCACACCGTTGGGCAGGAGGTGGGAGCTGGAGGGATTGTGCCACTGCGAAACAACTTTCTCAGCACTGATAAACTAACTCAGACTCAGTTCTTCTTTTAATGCTTGACAAGGACTAAACCCAGTGTTCCCAACTCAAGAAGCACTCATTAAGGAGCTCAGTAAGGCCAGATGAGCAGTTTGGTGATGCAAAGCATGAAGCCTTTCTACAGAACACAGATTTCATTTTAACAACCCTGCTGCCCAGCCCTGGGTGAGATACGCAAGCATCTTCTCCTCACCTGTGCATCCAATTCCATGATGTGAGCTACTTTGTTCCAGCCAAATCCAACAAACCGCCTGTCATACTCCGGGCAGTCCTTCCTCACAACAACGTATGGCTCAAAGTCTGCTTCCCACTCAACGCGGTAGGGGGTGGTGGCTGTTCGCCACTTGGCAAAGTTCGTTGGCGCATGCCCTTTCGTCCAGACGTGATACCTTAAACAGACATAAATGGCACGGACGTGGGGAGGCAATTAGATAGAACGCATCTTGGCGAGGCAACAAAATGTTACTTGTTAGATGAAATGCTCAAAAATAAGGACATTAGCTTACAGTTCACATCATCATTTTCAGCACATATCGGAGGCAATTTCTAGGACTATTTCCAGCACGCTTCCCAGAGCCTCTATCTGCTCAATGCTGAAACACATCTACTTGGTGAAGGATAGCGTGAAAACACTACCTAATGCTAATGGGAGAAACAATTACAAAGTACACAGACAGTTCATCTGCACTACAAAGTGCTGTGTCTCATTCCTAGCAACCAAGTGGCTGTATCAGTGATCTAAAATGAGTGTGAAATCCTGTAGCTCAGATAAGGTCCCTAAAATTAGCTATTTCCACACCACAGTGACATTCCCAGTCTGCTTTATATGCAATATTATAATTTGTATGAGTGACACCTGCAGCTCTGGCTGGATGTTCCATTTTAATAATTACTGTTATTACTATGGCGGAAGCCAAAGTGCATAATTAAATTAATAAGTAAAATATTACATAAAGTTTTTCTGCCATACTTTCGACATTGTGGGGAGTACCCATGTGATCCTCGGTAAGGTAATCAATGTGATTTACAGAAAAAGATCCTTTTATACTTTGTTAATCTTGTTTAGGTCACAGCAGGTCTCTTCCAAGCACAGCTTGAATCCACCCCATTAGCATCAGGGTCAATGACTCTCTCGCCCACTTATTCTTCTCACACCTTTCCAAAAATCAATGAGACAGGTTCTTTCTGCAGACTCATAGATTAAATAATGAAACAAAGGCATAGCAGGCCATCTGTATTACAATGCTCTGAGATGTGTAACAGAAGGGGCAAAACAAACATCCTGCCAGTTTGTAATGTAAGGTACATTGAATTCACAGGGATGACTCATGTGCTAAAAGTGAAGGGATTTGAGCATTAAATATTTGCAGAATTAGCACCTTGAGGTAATAATTCAACCCTAGAAATTCTCATAACATTGCAAGCCACTGCTAAAAACAGGGACGTAAAATCACAACCCAGGAGTTTTCACTTGGACTGTGTATTTCGGCTTGTAACGGGAAAAACAGAGAGGTGTTCAGCTTTGCGGACTCCTTATTCAGGGGCAGTGCAGGAGGACAGAATTATTAGGATAGCACTGGGGTCCCAAGTAACGCATGGTCCTTTGAAGGCTGCATTTCTAAACTCTAAACAGGCTGGATCACTTCCAGAAAAACAAAGCCCTTCTGTATTAAAAAACCTGACAGCGAATTAATTCTCTAGAGATTATTAGAAACAAGTGTCAGATTCACAAAGATGCTTACAATCCTTAATGCCCTTTGGAATCATCTCCAAAAAAGCCTATCTCTTTTCTTGGTCTCTTTTGGAAACGAGTGGGTAACCTACCCTGTCACTAATGGGCAGCTATCTGTGCTGGAAAAAAGACACAGTCACAACGTGGGGTTTAAAATTATATGGGATTGTGGAGGATACTGTATCTTCTAAAATCCTACCTCTGGCATTTTGAAATTAATTATGATAATAATAATAATGACTACTAAACATGAAGTGATTTGTATCTTCAAAGCCCCATGCAAACTTTGGTTAATTGAGAGATTCCTGCAGAGAAGCAGTCAAATGCTGCTGCTGTTCGAGTAACACTCTCCCACTGATCTAAACAGGGGGGTAACAGGACACTAGCCGTAAAAAACAATCAATTTCTTTCCACCCTTTTTGGGAACATCAGTGTAAGTAGTTACAGCTGCTCAAGTATAATCTCTGTGAGTGGAGAGAGCTGACCAGTGGGGAAAAACAATTGGGAAGAGACAATGAAGGGAAAATACAGAAGTGAGATTGGAGAGACAAAACAAAGCAGAAAGGAGGGAACAGACCTGACGGTACCAAACAAAATAATACCGGAGATAATCCACTTGTCTCTTCAGAGCGGCCGATGTGAGTGGAGGGAAAGACGAAGACAAAAGGGTGGCGGACATCAGGACCAAAAGGAAAATGAGTACAGGATGCTTAAATGAGGTGTGCACACACTAATTATAAAGGAATAATTAGACTGGAAACAAGACTTGTGAGAATTCAGGATTATATATGTAGCTGTACACACAATATATATGGGGCTACATATATCTATATAGGGAGAGACATATATATAATCTGCTGGAGCTAGGTCTTGGCCAATGGCTGACCACTGTATGAAATGTACTGCAAATTAAGACATGCAGACACCGTTACAAGGGTGTCCAAACAGAGGAAGCTACCATAAAATAGCGAGTCATTTCCAACAGACTTTATTCTTGGTGATGCAGCTGTGAGAAGTGGTTAACTGTCTGTGCTGGTCTTCCATCTCACAGGACAAACGAATAAATCTAATTTTCCTGCTCAGGTCCTTCTCACTCAAGATTTATAAAAACACACTGAATTTTAAGGCCTCACTGACTCCCAGGAGAACTTTGTGAAAATTGTGAAGAACATATTTTTCACTGTGCTGGCAATTTTGACAAATCCAAGCCAAATCACTCGATCTCTGTAAAACGGTGATCAGTTTCTTTCCCACGGTTCATGGAAAACAACTGGAAAACACCACCTCACCCCACCCCCGCTTTGGATGAAATGTTTCATCTTACTTGCATTATTGGTTGCTTTTATTTAAAATAAATTTTCAAAACTACAGTAAACTTTGCTAAAGTTAGCAAAACGAAATCATTCTTCTTCTCAGCGTGTTCTTTCTCCCTGCCTTGTTCCTCAAAGCTTCCCAGTTCAGTGAGAAACATGATTTGGTGAAAGAAACTTTCCCAGTCCTGTTCTCAGATGCTTAAACATTTTGCTGGATTGCGGATGCAATCAGTTAATTAGTTAATCAGTTGTTGGTGGTTATGTTTTCTCAATACGATGCGTCTTCTACCAGCTGTGGTTTCCCTTGTGCCTGAAAGCTGTGCTGGCAGTACATTTGTGGTTCATCAGCTATTACCCAGGCACTGAATGGGCACTTCCTTGTGAGGCACAGTCACAGCCAGCACCTACAAAAAAAGCCAGCAAGCTGGCACAGAGCAACCCGCTGCCGCGGAGGGTTTCCACACAGCATACCTTGCCAGCCGCAGATGCTCACATGTCTTCCCTTTTCTCCTGGTGGTGACTGGGGGATGTAATTTAGAGCCATTTTGTACTTCTTAGCTGCCCAGAGGTAGAAAAGGTCACCATTTGGAAAAGAGGTGACAAAAGCAATTTCAGTGAGGGAAAGATTGTAATCTACCATGTGGTGTGAGGGACTGGGATGCTGCAGGCACTCTCAGCAATCACTGTCACAGCAGTCCTCCCCAGCTCACTCCCACCCCCTCAGCCTCAAATTGCAGTGTTATTAAAGCACCTTGAAGGTGGAGGTGGAAATTCTCAGCCCAGATCACAGCTGCTTTGTAGCTGTTGATAGATTTGAGCAATGAAATGAGCCAAAGCAAACTGCGGAAGCATTTATAAAATGTGTCCTACATTAATATGTACACCAGCTACAGACTGCATGTCCTTCAATTCTTATTTAACCTTGCTCTGGCAAAACTCCCACTGATGTCGAAGACATTCTTGCATGAGTGAGACTTGAAAAAGGATCTGCAAATCCGGCTGTGTATGTAACATGCCAACATGTTGTATAGTTTGAAGACGAAAACTGTAGTGGAAGGCCACTGCTGTCCAAGCTGAAAATTTGCTTGTTGTTGAAATGTTAACATCTGAAAACCCCGAAGGTGTTCTTCTCCCACTGGAAGGATTTTTTTCTTTCAATTATGGGAGAAACAATTGTTTTCTATCAACAAATCTCTTGTTAATTTGTATGTCTTTAACTGTTAAAGAATGATGGGAGACTGAAAGGCACCTGCTCTATCAATATCCTTTAGTAATTTTCCAGAGAGAGGCAACCCTCCCTCAGTCACCACAAGTTTCTATTTCAAGGCAGTCACTGGCAGAGATGGTGTCAGAATTAGGTTTTCCAGGCTCACAGAGGCTGTCTGCTATGACATGTGCATGTGGCCACACGAGGGAAGGGTGGCTGCCGCAATGAGAGGTGTGTGGTACGGGGAATGGAAGAAGTGTGAGGAAAACTCTAAAGTAAGGGAAGGATGGGAGAGGTGATAGAGCTCCACCAGCCACGGGTAATACCTAACTTTCTCAGTTTTTATCTCTAGATCTCAAAATACCGTAAAAAGGAGAGGTGAACATTGTTACCTGCATTTCAGAGATGGAGAACAGAGATGTAAGAAATCAAAATGATTCATGTACCACCTCCCAGCAGGGCAGTAGTGGAGCGAAGAAGAGAACATAGGTCTCCTAAGCCCCCTCTCTGTGCAACATCATAAGGCCATATTGTACTCTTCCCATCACTGCAATGCTTTACAAATCTGCTAATCAGACCTTACCACACACGCCCAAGAGACAGTTAACCCCTGGTAGTTGCATTTTAAAACCGAAGAGTCTGGCAGACAATAGAAGTGACTTGTTCACAGCCACAAAAGGAGTCTGCTTCAGAGAGGAGCTCCAAATTTAGGTGTTCTTCGCTTCTCAACTTCTAGTCAGAGTACACTTTTACCTCTGCATTGAGAAACTCTAGCTATTTAAGCAGCTGTTTCACACTTGAGCACATGACAAGCCTGTATTTGTTTTTCCAGTAAGTCAGTAAGGAAGCGAACCAACGAGCAGAGAGAAATTATTTTTGGTCACATGAGGGACACAGCTATCTGGATAGTATTTGGCAGACAAAAAGCAAATTACACGCACATAAGTGTAATGGTTGTGCTCGATTTTGTAGTGCAATAAAAAATGATGAAAATAAAACAAATTCAATTTAACAACTGAAGTCCTTCAGTAGAGGACTATAATACTAGATAAAATGCTGAGCTTACAGATGGAATATATCCACACACGATTCTGTTCACTGCCTCTCTGTGAAAAGGGAAAAAAATTTCAATAGGTTTCTTAATGGAGCTAGCTAGCTGATAGTGAGAGAGAAAAATCAAATATTCACAAGAACATCAAAAAAATCTTTAGAGATAATGACCACGGGTTCAGCAAAAATACTTTCTATTACCTGAATGTGAAGAGGGTTCCCATGTCCAACATAGATAGCAGCTCTGCTTTTGACTTAGGGAAGGAGAGGCGGTAGCGTAGGGTCTCAAAAGCAGGTACAATCAGAGCTTTCTTGGTGTTAGCCAGGTCTAGCTGGATGACGGACTTCCTGGCAAAGAGAAACAACAAATAAAAGCAGGAAAAATTTAAACTGAGGAAATCACTTGGCTTTTCAAAATAAAGTGCAGAGAATGGGCAGTTTGATTCTGTAAATGTAACTATGGCCCATATTTTTTCCCAGAGATGCCTCATATTTTCCTGTACTTTTGATCTGCTGCTCTAAGAGCAGGGAGAAACACACAGTTCAAATATAGCTGGCGTGTTTCACTGATTAATGCTGCCCTGCACGTCCAGGGGTGCACAGAGCTGAACTAGAACTCCAAGCATGGCCAACTGACCACTCCTTTAAAAGAAACATAGTTGAATGCTACTACATATATGGGAAAGAGCTGCCTAGTCGATGACATTTCTAAAAAAATTGGGACTTTACAAGATGAGGAGCTGTAAAGTTTGGTTGCACTTCAGCCTAGCTATTCTCTGTGCAATGCTTTTGACCTCTGCTTTAGAGCTCTGTGTGTCCTGCAAGGTGAGTGTTACCTTAACACCACTATGGACCAGATATTTGCCCTCAAGAACACTGTTGCCATGATAGTTGGTCTTTGTTCAAGGCAAGGCACAGATCTACTGCAACAGGACATGGTGCAAATCAGCAAAACTGTACATTAGCAACATTTTTTTAAGTATTGTTAATCATGTGCACGGTAGTGCCCAGAGATCAGAGGTCATTGGTGCTTGGCTTTGTATGTAGGGCAAAGAGGCTGTTTCCTGCAGAGAAGAGCTGTGCACCGGGTGCACTGAGATACCTTGCTTTTTCCCTTCTTTTGCTGGAAGTTGTTCAGTGCAGAGACTGTTTTGGTGTGTGAGTGTGTGTGTGTGTGTGTGTGTGGGCACATACTGCATTTTGCACAGTAGGGCCCTTCCCTAGACAGGGCCCTTAGGACGACTGCCGCAGAAGAGCAAAGCTTAGCAACCTTAAGCCCCGCCTGCCAGAGGTATTCAGTTTATTCTTTCCTAACAAACTAAAACTCAAAGAAAAAGAAAAATAAGTTACTTTTCCATCCCCAAACTGAATCTTCCTATGCTTGTCATTAGAAATAACTCTGTCTCGATTTTCCTTTCATTATCTTCATATTTTGTATAAGAAATATGCCTCTCTCGCCCTGTCAAAGTCAGTTCCCCTTAACAGGATTCACTGTCCCGACTTTTATGTTACTGCAACAAGCAATCAAGGACAACGTTGACAAGCAGCAAACTCTCTACAGCCTTATAAGATGAAGGAATTGGGATCACTGTCATAATAACAGAAGGACCAAACAAACCACTCTTCTAGGCCCAGAATACCTAGAATTTATTTATATTGCCATCAGAGAAAAAGAAGAAGAGCAGGCTATTTAATAAAATATGAATTTTAGAGAATTCACACCACCCTATAGGCCTGTTCTATAAAAAGAAATCTGTTCTCAGTACCTTACTGCAAAGTTTGCATTGTTAAAAGAACCCTTACCACATTCCAGTGAACTTTTCTCAACTGAAGGATTTTAAGACCCTTTTATTATAATTTTTTTGTACTTTCTTCACTAGCTTCTCTCTCATCAACATTAACGGCCAAGATATCTGCATGTAAATTCACAATCAGCCTCCATGACCTTCCAGAATTGTTAAGCAGTGCCAGCATGCAGTCTTTATGATGCTCTTAACGTTTCTTCCCCTTCACACCTTCTCTGAGAGCAGGGGACACTAACATAGTTTCTCATCCAATATTTCAGACTTTCTGGACTCTCTGCAATCTATCAGCCTTGAGCGGTACAGCTTTGGGGATTCAGTTCTCTGAAGGAACAGGTAACATTTGCAGTGATGCTTACCCTTTGGGCTCTGGAAGGAAACAGCAGCTTCCATTTATGGCTGTTACTATCTCTTTGTTCGATGGAGAGCTCAAAAGCCCCTAGGCAAAAATCAAGGTCTTGCTGTGCCTGGCCCTGTCAAAGAGTAGGAGACAATCCTGCCCACCAAAGTTCCCAATCTGAAGCTGAACAAACCTAAGCAGGTGTAGGTATCAAGCAAGGGTAACAGCAGAGACTGTCAGATACAGCAAGTTTAAATCAGTGTTGAATGTGACTAATTTTGTAAGATATGGGAAAAAAGCACAAAAATGATGTGGCTATCAATAATCCTTTCCACACAATCCCTGCTCTTGTCATCTGCAAATTTAATATAGGTGTCAATGGCAGAACTGTTGGCAAGAAGAGATGACCGTACCTTCATGAAGAAAGCCAAAAGGCAGAGGAATCAAACTGATACAAGAGGCTGAAATCACTTGCACTGTCAAAGGTCAATATGAAAAGTTAGGTAAGTCAAGGAGAGGTCTGAAAACAAGATGCTTGTAGTAGATACAGTCAAACAAATAGAACTGGTGGAGGTACTTCAAAAGTGAAATAAAACAGCAGGATAATCTCTGCAGAAATATTTCCAAGAGATATGTGAGCATCTGAGGTACATGTTGGTAAGGTCAAAGTGGAGGGCTTCAGTGAAACTGAGCTGGGAGTTGAGACATGCTCAGTCAAGAAGTCCAGCAGCACTGATCTCTGAGTAGAACAGCCTGCCTTTGACGTGGACTAAATGACATAAAGGACTAATGTAAGGGGAAGAAGGAATCAGTGCTGATATCCATGTGTTGAACGTGAGTGACAAAGGACAACAGAGGCCATGTAAATTGTGATAATGGCAGGGAGGACTTGGTAGAGAAAAAAACAGCTTCCACTTTCTTCTGATAACTTGGCTGGCTGTCTGCTCCTTGGACAACCAGCTGAAAATCTAACTTCTTCCTTTTGGAAGCAAATCTGCTTTTCCTTTTCTGCGGGCTGACTCTTTTTCCTGTTTTGAGTGGAGGTGCCACTTGCTGGTTGACTGGTTCTGTGATACTCAGAACAGTAAAATTTTCACTGGTGGTGTTGCAAGATATGTGGAATATAATGCAGGGAATACATTTGGTTGTTTTGCAAACTAGCACTCGGTAAATTGTCTAATTCCTGCACTATTCTTATGAGGGCTGTTTTTCGAATTCAGTAATATCGATTCAGTATCCATTTTCCTTTATCTGTCCTTTATTCCCCAAACCCCAAAATAAAGATATATTATTTTATGAAGAGCCTTCTCTTTGCTAGTGTTGTCCAGGAAACCGTTTCCCAGGCATCTTTGTGTTCAGACCTGATGTATGTCATTCTGACGCAGTGAAGGTTGGGTTAAATTCATAAATCTACTAATCAACCCTATTTTTCGCAGAACATGGAAGAAACGAATCTTAAATCACAAATGTCTCCTCACAGGTTGAATGAACTCCGGCATATTGATATAAATCTTTTCATCTCCATAGTCCTTTACAAAAATTAACACAGAATTCTCATCCTTATGGGGCAGATAGTAATATTCCCATTTCTGGAGGATAGAGAAGCTCAGACACAGAAAGGTTAGCAACCTAATTCTAAAGCTCCGAATTCAGAAAAAAAAAAAAAAAAGAAAAAAAAAAAAAGAAAAATTGTCCATGATTAATTCAAATTAGCTTCCACCATCAGGACTCAGTAAGTTAGTTCGAGATCAATGAACAGAGCAGAGTTTGTGGTAAGAACTGGAGAGTTGTCAGTCCACTGTTAAATTCATTAGAACATTCTTCCTCTCTGCAAAAGCAATGAATGCATAGCCACATAAGGCATCCAACAAATAAAAAAGAATGGGCACAACATGAAGTGTCTCTCTTGCTGAGATGCTGAAGAACAACCAGAAATACTTCACAACTCATGTTGCAGGGCACAAGTATAAAACATGCAGACAGAGATTTCATGCTGGGTCCAAATTCATGCTTAAAGTGTCACTGGAAGCGAAGGGCCTATTTCACACAAATGTGTCAGGAAAGAACTTTAATGCTAGCTGTGACAACTGTAGGTAAGCAGCCTGTCTAGTTATTTTATGTTAGAAGAACCTTAAGGATGACCCACACACCTTAACCTGTAGCAACCAGAAAGAGCCTTTACCTCTGCGGCAATGACAAGATGACCTCAGTAACTAATGAGGGAAGGTGACAAAAGACTTTGACTCAGCACAGATCATGAAGGTGTGTGTTTCATAAACAGGAAATCTTTAAATGAGACATTTATTTCCTTTTGTACTTCACAGAAGAGTAAGGTAAGACAAAAATGGGGTTTGATGGAGATTAAAAGCATTGAAATGGTCTTACCAGCTGTGAAAAAGCTTGATCAGCGCAAGATTAAGTGCTAGCAACAGATACCTAGAGGGACAAGTAACCATCAGCTTCTCCTTCAAAACTGGCCTTAACCTTCCACATACAACACCTTCAAAATATATTGAAAATGTTTTTCAGAATTCCTTTCGTTCTGATAATATATCGTCTGTAGAGACACAATACACAATATATGTAAATCAGCAAACCCACAGTGAGAGGGACTTGTCTGGCTCATCCTGTGCAAAGCGATTCCTGAAATACCACACTATTTCTATTTGCTTATGGTTGCTCTATCTGAGGAAATGAAGATGAAAATGTTTGTATGTCTCTAACAAACAATTGCTGCCATTCAGATAGATAGCACTAATCAGCTACTTGCAGAGGTAGTGGAAACAGTCAATGCAGAAAGATACAGGGTATCTGTATTCACAATAATCTCACTGCACCTCCCTGCTATTTTGCTCAGAAAAATCATTATTGAAAAAGCAACAAAAGCCTCTAGTCCACATGCAAAAAAATCCAATCCCTTTTTAAAGAGCTGGCAGTAGCAGATTAGCAATTTCAATATTCCCAGGCAACAGAGACTCACAGTCAGAGTTAAGGTGGTATGGGCCTCAGAAAAGGCTGATAGAATAACACAAGGTCTCGGATGCAACAGCTTTCAGTGGGCATTTTTTCCTGAAACTGCACCAATGGGTGGCATCACTGCGCATTTAGTTCTATAATACATTATCACCATAGGAGAACGATTTCTATGGTTGTAATATCTCAAGTATATTGTGGTACATCATTTTGTTTTCTCTCCTCTCTTCTCCCTTTCAGTGCTTGCTCCCATCAGTGCACTGCGAAGCAGCAGGGAGGAACAAGTTGCTTTTCTAGTACTACATGCCAGTATCAACAGCTGCTATCCTTACTGTGTCCAGCATTGATCTGAAGAAATCTAACAGTATGCAACACTAACGTCAAAGAACAGAGAAGCTAACAACAACTGTCTCTAAATGTATCTTGAGGCAGCTAATGTGTGCAAGGGACAGAATTATTTTGGAGTCCTCATAGCACAAGTCAAAAAGAAATATCCCTAAAATAAGTGGGAAACAAGCTGTCACAGTGCGATAAAACTCCATTATTGAAATCCAGTGTCTTAAAAGCCACAGAATCAGAGAATAGTTCAGGTTGGAAGGACCTCTAAAGGCCGTCTACTCCAACCCCCCTGCAGTGAGCAGGGACATCTTTATCTAGATCAGGATGCTCAGAGCCCCGTCCAACTTGAACGTTGCCAGGGATGGGGCATCTACCACCTCTCTGGACAACCTGTTCCAGTGTTTCACCACCCTCGTTGTAAAAAATGTCCTCCTTATATCTAGTCTGAATCTACCCTCTTTTAGTTTAAAACCATTACCCCTTGTCCTACTGCAACAGGCCCTGCCAAAAAGTTTGCCCCCATCTTTCTCATAAGCCCCCTTTAAGGCTGCAATAAGGCCTCTTTGGAGTCTTCTCCAGGCTGAACAACCCCAACTCTCTCAGCATTTCTTCATAGGAGAGGGGCTCCATCCTTCTGCATAGTGAATTTGGCCCCATACATGGATGCAGAAATTGAAAAAGGCAATCAATTCTCCACATGAGGGAGAAGTGAGAAGAAGATGCTTACTGAGCTGTTAAGCCTCAAACAAAGGAATTCCTCCATAAGTTTGTGACACTGGAAGCCTTATTTCCCTTTAAATTCCAAAACCCCGGGCCTATGGACTGAAAGGGATCACCTACAGGCAGACCCTCACTGGAACACTTTGATCAACTTTTACCTAATTAGAACAGAGATGAAAAGCAAAAAACCGGTCAGGACTGAGGAACTGAAATCCTCCTGCCTGGCCACAGGGTGTCCTCCTTGCTCTGTGCTTTGGCCTCAGATGACCAGCCTCTGCAGGGGAAAAAGGTCTTTATTAAAAAAAAGCTCAGTTAATGGATCAGAGGTCTGTAGTTTGCTCAGCCCAACCTGCTCACGTTCATTATGATACAATACACACTGAGGTTACTCTTTCCAGTTTCCTTATGCTAATTATTTTGCCTTGACAGGTGCTGGCATTGCAGTCATATTTTTGAGCTGGTTAGACTATCACCCTCTTTTCAAGATACGGAACTGGATTAAGAGTGTGTCACAGGCACAACAAGTTCAGTAATGCTTTGCATGTTTTTTCTGTCACTAACATTAAGAACCAGGGATGTTTAGGGAAATCGCCCTAAACGGTTCACGTCTCGGCTAATACAGGATGCTCTTTCACATTTAATAATGCTTTAGTCCAGTTCAATTTTCAAATGGATTCTTCTGCTGCTCTGAGGGAATTACTCTGATGGCTAACAGGGCTCACATTTAGGCCTGAGTTTTTTGTTTCGTAACCGTACTGCTTTACTTCCAGTTATAGCCCCTTCCTCTACCCTAATAATTCTTGTGCCTTGCTGGGCATTGTCACACCTTAAACATCTATAAGGTGCCTCTTCGAGATCTGCTCAAACTGCATGGTTTTGGGGATATGTGAGAAGGTTGGAGTGTGGAGAGGCTGAAAACACATGTGACGGTGGGAATCCCTCCACTGTCCGTTTACCTGAGGTACTCGTAGAGTCCATACATGGGCAAGAAGTCAATGTCGGACAGAAACATGTATGGTGTGCTGATATGCTTCATGGCCACATTCCTCAGTAGATTCACAGGATAGAACTGGCCCTCCTTGTACACGATATGGTAGCCGACATTGTGGCGGCTCATAAGCACTTCCGAGCCCTGGGCGTAGCGCAGAAATTGCTGGGCTTCTGCATCAGAAAGATAGAGTGCCAGGCTGATTGGACCTTCCCAGTGTTTGCAGATGGCTTCAAGCATCTGGAGCCTGAAAGAGGAAGGGCGAGAATAAGAAAAGGCTGTCTCCCTGTCTGGGACTCTTTGCCTGGGTTCATCTGATCAAATGCAGATGCCTATCTCTAAGTGACACAGACTGGGATCACTTTATATGCTGTGGAAAGCAATAAATATTTCTACAGCACAATTCATCTCAGCTAAGTTGATGTCTCCATCTGGACAGATGTACTGCACTCTAGATATGCCTATTACTCTTCACCAAATACAAGGGAGCCTAAGAGAGCCCTAGCCCAGACGCACTCATCCACCACTTAGACACCTAAAGCTAGGTGAAAACACCACCATCCTTTCTGCCTAAAGCATTTATGCTGCAGGAAAACCCACGTGGACGATGTGACTTCATCTGATGGGAGCTTTCAGCAGTTGCAGGGATCTTTCCATGTGGATCTACTTACAGGATAGGGGTCTCGTAATCTTAAACAGTGTCTAGTGCCCAATTCACACTTCAGGTCAAGCTATTCTCACACACTAACATACTACAGTGCTCTTCAACAACCTTGTGGAGGAGAAAGGTGTACAGACCCACAGATCATTTCACCTCCTGTTTAGGAAAACCTTCCCCAAATTTTTGCAAGGCAGTTAGTCATTTCTTGAAAGCTGTTAAAAGTGATAGGTCAAGGGAATACTGATTTATGGGAGCATTTGCTTCGAGTAGAAGAAAACTCACCGTCAGGAAAAGGGCAAAAGGATGACACATCAATAGAAATGGGATTTACTATGTGTAGGGAGTAAGGAGAGAAGGAGGGAGAGACATGGCATTGGTGTGGAGTTATCAAAAGAACATTTCAGACAAAACCATAATTTGAAGTACTGATTCGTATATGTTTAGCAGTATCTCAGATTTCATTAAACCATTTTTAAAACAGGTTGTATTGATGTATATTTTTTAAAACTTCCAGCAGTTACAATACTACTGATGAAAATGACAACAAAAGATCTCATACACAAACATAAATCAAACCCAGCTGGTCAAAATCATTTAAGCACTTTGAGTAATTCATAGAGAATTGCCTAGGGATTAAGATATGCCACCCAAAAATACAGCAAGGACTGATTACAAAGCCTCTTGAGCTAATACAAAGGGAAATGAACCTATGCAGCCTAGCCAGATATTCTATTAAAAATTAGGAACAGAAGATATGCAACATGATTATCTTCTCTCCTTTCCAATTCCATATTACTAGATTTTTCCTATTAATATTTATACAGAACACAAGAAAAGTTTTCTGCATCATCATAATCAGAGAAAATAATTTCCCCCTCCTACTATCTCCCTAAGCTTTGCAGCAGAATGGTATGATATACCAGCAAACACACATTCTGATTTAACATTAATAGCTTTTTCCTGCATTTCTGAATGATCGTGATTACATCCAACACGATATAATCATTTTTTCTTAGATATGAGATATTACCTTCACTAGTCTACACCTGGTACATTATTTTCTTTTTATCTGTTATTGAAACAAAGGTTATTATCAGCCTGAAACACACAGCTGAATTAGAAACACAAATCGATAAAAATGATCTAAGAAGTATGTGAAGGCTTTAGGCTTTTGATTGTACAAATAATAAATAGAGAAAAATACTTATTTTCTCCCCTTTTTTCAACATAGTGGAAACCCATTAATCAGGAGACTCCAATTCATCAGCACTCAGATTTAGGGAGGCCTTTAAAAAATGGAATACTTGCCTAGCAAGAAATGCAGCAAAATGCCTTTCAACGACTCCACGCAGTGGACAAATGGCATACATAACTTACTTAAACGGCACACCTGATAACGCCTGCAAAGCTTTTCATGATTTTTAAGTGGGAACTGGGTTTCTCTGGTATAAATTTCCAGCTGGACAGCTTAGTGCCCTTCAGAATACTCCATTCTGCTGCGTCAATCTCATTGACAGGCTCCACTTTCACGAGTTTGATACAGGGACTGCTGGGTGATGCTCCATAATCTGCTCTCTGTAGGTTGTTACAATAGTCTCCTTTGACTATAAAATTTAGAATTACAAGTTTCTAAGCACAACATGACCAAGTTATTTTGGTTTTATTAGTGGTCTTGAGGAATGCATTCTCTTAAGGACTCTAGAGAAAATAAATGTACTGCTGTACTGCATAATGACATCATCATTTAGCTGGTAAATTTTTTAAAGGTCTGTTTCAGTTAAAGTGAATTTTGCTGGAATTCCATTGTTTTGTGAGATTCTTTGTTTTCACTTTTCTTCTTAAGAATACTCAACCAACTTACAACTCATTCTCACCCAGACTTCAAGCCCTGTAATGCTAATTGTGTTGTTCCTTGTCCACAACCTGTTCTCACATTTTTGTACCTCCCACTCTGATTTCTAAACCCTAGGTACATATCATGCCCTTATAAAGGCTGCCTAGCCAAAACACATGCATGAAAACCACGGTGGTGCAACCAAGCCATTATCCAAGAAAATATCACATCAGTACAAAAGATGACAAGCAATAATGAACAATGCTGAATGAAGTCAGTCTCAAAGCTTCTACCTAAAGACATTAATGTTAACTCCTAAACTGCATCCCTCTCTTCCATTCCCCAAGCTTGTCATGGTAGTCGTGTCAGTCTCATCTCCAACAGGAATATAATTGGAGACACTGGGAGTTGCTTTTTTGCCTTTCCTTATCTCGGATGATCATTTGAAAGAATGATGCAGGGTATGGCACATTGTTTATGTACATGTCATCTTACATCTGAGACACTATTCTTAAACGTCTACAGCTATGCTGGAGGAGTTTAATAAAAGTGGTTTACAGAAGAAACAAAAAAAATAGTGCAGTAACTGAAAGATGTGAAAGAAAACAAAGCAGCTAAACAGTTCTTTGGTATGGTATTATTTATTGATTTTAGCTGAAAGAAAGTATTTCCAACTCAAATCAATAATTTATAGCAACACACCAACGAAGTAGGGAAGATTTTTCCTGCACTGTATCAAGAGGGCTGTTCTTCCTGAATAAAAATGTGTGGTTCTGTCTATCAATAAAAACATGCGCCCCAGTGAGGATCCAGAAAGGGAAACAGATGCTCAGACTTTGCATCAGTGCCAGTGAATCAGCACTGAGCCCCAGCTCATTCTTTTGAATTAAATTCTGGGGGGAAAATATACCATGTGCACACACCAGCTTTACTAATTTACTGTGGCACTCGCTCAGAGTCTGGCTTAATTTATTTCTTTAGTTTTTTACTCAAAGGTTTGTGAACACTTAAGAAATGTTTCCTCAATTAAAAATCAATAGAACAGACACGGATGCGCATAGCAAATCATAACACAACGTGCAGGATGCAGTGCTGAGGCACTGGCGAAACAGAATAGCCCTCATTCGTTCGTGTTTATTTTTAAAACAGGCTGTAATTGTTTTGTTGATCTGAATTCCTCCGACCCTCCTGGAATACTGCTGACCTTCCACTGGTGTAGCAGTGCTGGTATTCATGGGTCGTGCTGTATTCTGTATATGCTCCGCTAAATGAAAGACCAGTTTCTGGCTAATATTCAAGGAGTCCTGACCTGTTTTGTAACCCACTCTGATAGCAGTAACTACAAAGTTTGGACTAGATTTGAACTGAGAAGCAGGAGGAAAAACAAGACTGACAATTCAAAATTTCACAAAGCTGGCTGATCCAGACTGCACTTTCAGAGCTTCTGAAAAATGATAACTAATTGCAACGGTGGGCATCAGAAAGGTGTACATGGAACTTGCCATGAAATGAACTCTTTTCTTCCCAAATGAAAATAGCAGTTAAATTCCACATTACATCAGAACTGAAAGCCAAAAAGAGTTAAACTAGAAATGTTATTCTGAAAATCAACATTTGCATAAAAATGCAATGACTCATCTCAAAAGGAGACTTTTTATTTCACACTAGCACATAAATAAAAATAAGTTTCATTTTCAACTTCCCAATTTGAAACTAAAACGTTTAGTTTTGATTTTCACTACAAGAAAAATCACTAATTGAAATTTTCTGCAAGAAAAATGCCAATGAAAGCAAAACTAACATTGTCTAATGAGGAAATACTGTGTGTAAAATCTTGGTCAGCCACAAACGCTTGCCTAATTCTATTACAAACATCTCCTGGTTTTTTCTAAGTTGCCGCCAAACTCCATAAACTAATAATGCCTGACAACCCTGACAAGTAACAACCCCTGCAGTTCCAGTGTTCAGCCTCTCATGAACTCTACCCACACTCCTGTGTGCACTGCAGAGCTGAAGTCTGGATGTATGTGTGATATCTACATGTGCTACTCCTAATTCAAGACAGGTCTTACAGCGTGACATTTAAGTTTCTAAGAAACTGAGTTTTTTCTCTCCCCAAAGCATTACATTGCTGGATTTCTCTGTAAGAAAATACTCATTGTCCCACACTGTCAGATGAACAAGAGATTTTCCCTACCTGTCCATTGAAAGTTGGGCCACCAGTGTTACGTCGGTATTGTCTGAAGCAGGCTCGTATTCGTAATGTAGAAAATACAAATGAGTGCGATGGACGGTGAAACGTTCTCGACGAAATTCATAGCATAAGTCATCCTCGTCCAGCTCAGAGAGCTGTTTCTGGAGCTGTAAAAAAGTGAATGTAAAGATAAGTTCTTTATAATCATTTTAGCAAAACAGGGAGAACAAGGAGGTTGGGAACCAGCAGCATGATGCAATGGGGAGTTGAAGTGGAACATACAGAGTAGCAGGGTTTTCCCAAGCTTTGCTCCTGCAAGTCACTGGACAAGAGAATAGAAGAAAGCACTTGTAAGTAGATTGATAAGGCAGACAGATCATTGTATTATGGTCTATATATTGTATATATTATCTGTATTACACACTTTCAACATCTAGACTAGCAATAAACCAGTGAAGAATCACAAGTTTAATAATTGCCAAATTTTGGAGTTAATGCTCCAATGCGATGCACAATGACATTCCTTACTAGAAGCAGTGTTTCAAACTACTCGTAGACATACAGATCCAGCAGACAAGATTCAGCAGCAGATTAAGATTGTACACGCTGGACTGAGCAATTCCTGTTCTGCTGCCTCTGCTCAAGAATAGTAACTGCTGCTAGCAGCATGGACAAACAGCTGGAAAGTAACATCTTTGATCATTATTCCATTTCTTGAGATTCAAGTACCTGCACCAGTTCAATTTTGCAACGAAAATATTCTTTCAAGTGCAGAGGTGCCAGAATTAAGCCTACACTTTTAACGGGCTTTATGCTTCTGGATACCCAGTTTGAGAAATCCAAAGGATGGCAGATTAGCAGAGAACAGGTATTTTTTTGGCCCCCTTGGAAGTCAACATGGGCATCTCAAAGCAATCTAATCACAAGTCACTTAGACATGTAGCTTTAAGAGAATAAAAGTTTAGTGCTGGGGAAATGAGGAATAGAAAAATGGACCACATGTCTATGCAGCTGACAAATTCAATCCCTGAACTATGCCCCACATCTGGCTAGATATTATTTAAAACGTGTTTATTTAAAAGGAAAAATCAGCCCTACCTGCTGTAAAATGTACTACAAAATATAATGAAGATGAAAATTATATATGGTCTTAACATGTCAAATAAGGGTTCTGTTGATGTTACTCTAAAATGTAGGTTATTAATAAAGGTACCATTTTTATATTTTATTTCCTAAAAGCATCCTATAAGAAGAATATGATTGCATATTTATCAATAAATAAGAAAAATATTAATTTTATAAGAATTTTACAAGTTTTGATAAAAATCAGTGCACTTCAAAACTGTTTCATGCAACAAATGGATTATTGAATTACAGACATTCATTTAGATTTAAAAATCTCTTCTTTTTGTCCTGTTCAGAATGATTTAAAGTAACAGTTTCACCATCTTCAAGAAAAAAAAAATGGAAAATGTAGGTATTTCTTATCCTAATACCATGTTCAGAAGATGAGCTGTTGTTCTTGGAACTATAAGCATAATGGTTGCCATCAACAATAATGCTTACAGCTGAATGTTTTCCTCTGAAGGCTGATGGATTAGTTCTTCGTATTTTCCTGTACATCACTCTATAATCTTCTTTTGAATAATGGAAATACCTCCTTTGATTTCGATGAGTTTGGATCAGGCTCTCATTCTTCTCTCCTATTGTTCTGCACAGATCTTAAAACTTCCCTCAAGAGAGACTGCTTTTAGAAAGATGAGAGTCCGAGTCCTGACAAATCTTTACTCAGCAAAACTTCTATTGAAATCAAGATCCCTTTTGGTAGAATAGAAATTAGGAGTTCTTTTATGTATTCTTGCAGTTTCATTCATTCTGCTTTACAAATCACCATTCAGCTGAGCCTGTACTTCATTTTCCAAATCACATTCAAACAATATTTGAATTCAACCCACTATTTACAGCAACGACTAGAAAGAATATTGCATCTATCTGTTTCTTCCTTGAAGAGACATTAGAATGTCCTTAACAGAATTATCAAGGAGATGATTGACATTTAAATGGTTAAAATGACAGCAAAGCACATTTCAGGGGTAACTTACTATCCTGCTATATGTAGAAATGACCAGGCTGGAAGTTTACAATTGCACAGCAGCTATTAACCAGGTAGTCACTGAATTATCAGATAACATTCGGGTTGCAAGCTAAGAGGACATAAATACTTAATTATTAATTAAAAGAATAACATTTGGGTCTAAATTATGGCTTTGCACACTACAGAGCCCTGGGTGGGGGAAGACAAGGAGACACAGCTTCTTAGGGGCCCCAGTATTTTGATGGTGAAACTCACCAAGTCACAAAGTTAGTGATGGAGGTGAAGGAGAGCAGAAAACAGCAGAAGATCACTTCTGCTAGACAGAAAGGGAAATCTTGCTCTTTCTGCTGCATTTCATAGGGTCAGGATTTTGTCTCTGTCCTGCCTGACTTTTTCTGAGCTTGCAGCTATGCTGATAGTCTGAGATGTTCTCCTTGGCACTTCCCATGACTCATGCTCAGTACTGTATGTAGTGTTGGGACCCAAAAGAAGAGATGAGATGGCTGTGTCCACATCCCTTGGAGAGAGCAGTCCCCAGAAGGACTGTGGGCATGGTGTACTCTCACCCTCTCCCAGCCTCTGTCCCCAGCACCCTCCACTTGAGTGCAGGCAGGTTACCAGGGGGAAACCCAAGCACAGCCTGTCTGAGAGCCCTGGCTAATAAGTGGGCATCACTGGGCAGGATCAGACACACAATTCCATTAGCACTTTG